TTGAATTGTGTCCCCCTAAAATATGAGTTGGAATCTTAATTCATACACCTGTGGATGTGATCCTGTTTGGAAACAGAATTTTCTTTCTTATGTAAATCATATCATACTGGAGTAGGGTGGGTTCTAAACTTAATCACTTCTGAGTTATAAAAAGAACAGATTAGACACAGAAACACACACACATACACAAGGGAAGACAGACACCATATCTACAAGCCAAGGAACGTCTGGTACTACCTGCAAGGAAGGAATTGACATGGATGACATCCTGATTTGGACTTTTATCCCACAGAACTGTGAGAAAACAAATTTCTGTTCTTTAAAGCCACTCACTTTTGGTATTGTGTTATAGCAGCACTAGGAAACTAAGACAGGAGCCATCTTTATTGGTCTGTAATTCCCATGCTCCCTGTTATTTTACATCAGTGAATTGGAAGTTGCCATTTGAAGGGAAAAAAGCCACGAAGTATTATGTCCTTTCCTTCAGTGGAACTTCAGAAAATGTGGGAGAAACATATGCAAGGGTGATTCTATCAAATTGAGCATAACACTACACATTTGTCTTCTAAACACTCTATTCATTCCCATTGTTGTTCATTCATGCCTTGCCAAACAGTGATACATTTTTCTTGAAATGGAACATTGGGAAAGAAATGGACCATAGTTATTGTCAGTGGTAAAAAACAAGGACTGAAAAAAACTTGACTTGTGTTTCCTAGTTATTAAACACACATACACACACACACACACACGTGCACACACACAAAATGATAAAAATGTGAACTAGATAAATCCAGGCTTTTAAAACTTTTGCAAAATTGCAATGCTCCAACTTATTTATCTGATGTGTTTCATATTATTTAAACCTAGACTTATATATATAAAGAGGCGCTCTGGTGGCACAGTGGTTTAAAGTGCTCGGCTGCTAACTGAAAGGTCAGCAGTTCAAACACACCAGCGGCTCTGTGGGAGAAAAATGTGGCAATCTGCTTCCATAAAGATTTCAGCCTAGGAAACCCTATGGGGCAGTTCTACTCTGTCCTACAGGGTCATTAATAATTAGAATTGACTCGATGGCAATGGGTTTGGTTGTGTGTTTGGTTTTATACATACAAAAGTTTTAGTATTGATATGTGATCTATAATTGTGACAAATATTTGAGACTACAAGTGTACCTAGTGGAAATTTGGGGTCATGCATACAAAACATTCATTAATCTTTGTTTCATATTTTTAAGCCATTTTCTATAAACTCTATGCACCTTCACAGCCCATTTCAGTTCCAACACTTTCATGGGGCCCTTCTACAACCCCACATGGACGCCAGTGATCTTTCACCCTGAACTCATTCAACATTTGCTTTCAGCCTCAATGGTGCCCCATAACCAGTGCCCATCACATGGACCACTTTAAAATAAAATGCAGTTTCTTTGGCTTTACTTCCAGAGTTTCTGATTTATTTGGGTAGAGTAGGTTGAGAAATCTGTATTTTTAAACAAACATACCAGCTAAGTCTATTGATCAACTCAGTTTGAGAATCCAACCTACTCATTTGGCATTCACCATATACTGCCTTATATTGTTGGTGAGCCTTTCCCATCAGAGACCATCCTTATCTTAATGTAATCAATTATTTTTTTTAATTTATAAGCAATATTTTTGAACTCTGGGAAGTTATTTTAGTGCTATTCTTGAATCTCTGTGAGGTTGCTTTTTATTTTTTGGTAAAGTTGTTATCTGTCTCCTCTGTTGTTGTTGTTAGGTGCCATCGAGTCAGTTCCGACTCATAGCGACCCTACGTAGAACAGAACGAAACGCTGCCTGTGCCATCCTCACAATCGTTGTTATCCTTGAGCCCATTGTTGCAGCCACTGTGTCAATCCATCTTATTGAGGGTCTTCCTCTTTTTTACTGACCCTTTACTTTACCAAGCATGATGTCCTTCTCCAGGGACTGATCCCTCCTGATAACATCTCCAAAGTATGTGAGATGTAATCTTGCCATTCTTGCATCTAAGGAGGATTCGGGTTGTACTTCTTCCAAGACAGATTTGTTCATTCTTTTGGCAGTCCGTGGTATATTCAATATTCTTCACCAACACCATAATTCAAAGGCATCTTCTTTGGTCTTCCTTATTCATCGTCCAGCTTTCACATCATATGAGGCGATTGAAAACACCATGGCTCGGGTCAGGTGCACTTTAGTCTTCAAGGTGACATCCTTGCTTTTCAACACTTTACAGAGGTCTTTTGCAGCAGATTTGCCCAATGCAATGTGTCTTTTGATTTCTTGACTGCTGCTTCCATGAGTGTTGATTGTGAATCCCCATAAAATGAAACCCTTGAAAGCTTCAGTCTTTTCTCCATTCATCATGATGTTGCTTATTGGTCCAGTTGTGAGGATTTTTGTTTTCTTTACGTTGAGGTGTAATCCGTACTGAAGGCTGTGGTCTTTGATCTTCATCAGTAAGTGCTTCAAGTCCTCTTCACTTTCAGCAAGCAAGTTGTGTCATCTGCATAACACAGGTTGTTAATGCATCTTCCTCCAATCTTGATGCCACATTCTTCTTCATAGAGTTCAGCTTCTCAGATTGTTGTCTCCTCTGACAGTTCTATTTTACTAGAAGAATATACTTCTTGGTGTGCAAATTGGTATTTCTCATTCTGCAGCTGGTCACCTTGAGGTGTTTCTTATTTTCACGGCCTATTCATGGTTCTGGAGTCCCTGGGTGGTGCAAACAATTAATGAACTTGGCTGCTAACTGAAAGGTTGTCAGTTTGAGCTCCCTGTGCCTCAATCAAAAGTGCCTCAACAGAAAGTCCTGGTGATCTACTTCCAAAAAAAATCAATCATTAAAAATCCTATGGAGCACAGTTCTACTCTGACGCACATGGGGTTTCTATGAGTTGGAATTGACTCAAGGACAACTGGTCCCTCATGGTTCTAGTTGTCTGGGCTAGATGATGGGGAACTGATGCTGCAGCAGAGGGAGATACCGAGGTCTCAGTTCTTGGCATATTGTCAGTTTCCAGCTAAGGTATTAAGAGGAAGTCACTTCCCTAACCAGCTGCAAGGTGCTTGACCAGCTTCCAGCACAGAGAGGACCTGAGCCCATCTGTTCAGCTCCCTTCAAATTCCTTCCAAACCAAAGAGACTCTCAGGTACCACCAACATCATCCCTCTCAAGCTGGCACACTGTCCTTTAGGTGTCTACAGATCTCCTAGGGCCATGCTGTCTTTAGGAAGCATGGCACTCTGATTCTTGCCCCCAGGTTTATCACTACTGGTACATAGGAATCATCTCTCCACTGGCTCTCTCCATCTGGATCCCCACAGATGGGAGGTCTTGAATCAACCCTCTAGGTACTACCTGCCACCCTGCCCCAGAAGATGCTCTACTTAAGCTAGGTAGCTAGAAGCTGATTAGAATTAGAATTGGGGGTTGGGGCAGCAGGGTGGTTGTTCAGTCTACCGTTTTCCCCAGAGTATTCTCATTGTTATTAAACTTTCCATATGTGTATGTCGAATTTCTCCAGCTAAGGGACCTTGGATACATCTCCTAACCTCACCATACCTCACTTTCCTTATTTTGAAAGCATAGATAATAACCCCTGCATAGAATTGGTAATGAAATCACAGCTAACACTTACTGCACACTCTTTCTGTGCCAGGCACCTGGCTAAGTGCTTTACATGTGTTGATGCCAAATGAGATAATGAAAATAACGCACTTAGCACACGGCCAGGCACAGGTGAGTGCTCCATACGTGCCAATCGTTCTCTTTATTGTTGCTTTCAGATGCTGACCTTCGTGAGTGTAGATGCATGTCTTGTATGATTCTACAGTCCGTCTCTCCCTGTTCACTTTATACTGTACCTTGTACAGAGGAGGCACTCAACAGATCTGTTGGTTGACTAGCTGAATAGATCATGTGTGTCCTAATGGTAATCTCCTAATGGTAATCTATTTTCTCTACACTTGGTAAACTCAAGTAATTTTACATGTTCCTAAAAGCTTAGCTAAAAGTTCATCTCTTTTGCAAAACTGCATATAAACTCTCTCCTTTGTTAGAATTTCACATACACATCTTATAGGCTCTTTATCCCCAATTCAACCTCACGTTCATATTTATGCATATGAATTATATTCCCTGCTAGAATCCACTCCTCTGCTCCTAGTCAGGGGCTGTTCTATATTCAGAATCCCCTCTTTGGAAACCCTGTCCCTAAAGCTTAGGAGAGTTTGTCCAGGGAATGAGAATTAGAACAACTCTTCTTCGAGAACAAAGGAAGCCAAACTGAGAATGGATCGTGTGAAGAAAGGCAGCTTTGCAAAGTCGAGGGTGGGCACGCAGGAAGAATATGATAGAACATCCTGGTTGAGTGTTGTGTGGAGCTAACTTGGACATCTTGCTCCCCCTTTTTCTTTTTTAGCTTTGTTTATAATTTATTTTGGTTTTGTTGTTGACAATATACACAGCAGAACAGACACCAATCCAACAATTTCTACATGTACAGTTCAATGACATTGATTACATTCCTTGAGTTGTGCAACCATTCTCACCCTCCTTTTCTGAGTTGTTCCTCCTCTATTAACATAAACTCACTGATGCCTAAGTTTCCTATCTAATCTTTTGAGTTGCTGTTGTCAGTTTGGTCCCATATAGATAGATCTTAAAAGATTAAGTGAGCTTTTGTTTTGTTTTGTTTTTTTCTACTAATGCTCATATGCTCATCTATCCAAATAAATTAGCATTTTTATCTCAACTGACTCAGCTTTTCTTTTTTTAAATAATTAATATTTTAAGATAGCCATCTCGTATTTTATAAAAACTCTCTTTTTAGGTCATTGTGTTTTGGAGTACAGATTTTATGACTTGGAATTGGGCTTTAATTGACTTAACAATTTCTTTTTTTTAGCTACACAGGTAAAAGGTGTCGGGTTCTATTTAATTTCATACACACTCATTAATTGTCTGGTGTGTGCTTTGTCTTGTGGTAGGAACTTCTAGGAGAATCAGATTTGAGTTCCTGAATCAGCGGTTAGAGTACAGAAGACAGAAGAGGTCAGAAGGTAAGAGCACGGATCTGGATATCCCACACACTAGGGATTGAGTCCTGGAAATACCACCTGCACACCCTCTGAACCCATAAGGAGCCTGACATACAAGCTTTTAATATATTAACTATCATTATTGCTAAGGAAATAAGATACTTTCAAACATTTGGTAAAATGAATACTCTTGGAAGACAGACTTCCATTTTGAATCATCTCTGAAAACTTCACAGTACCCAGCACAGGATCTTATTACAAGTGCTGGCTGTCCCCTTCCAAATGTGAAGTTGTCACTAGAAAGTGGCTGCCCCATTGGGAAATATATTTCTCAACCACCTTGCATTTAGGTATGGTTATGTGATTTGTTCATTCTGATAGCATGAGAGCAGAAGGTGGTTAAAAACAGTGGAATCTTTTCAAACTTCTTTTCCTTTGGCTTGGATAAATGCAGAGTACTCAAGACTCTAGAAGATGGTGGAGGCATGGAGTGGAAAGATTCTAGCTCTCAAAATTCTGCCAGTCACTTGCATTGTACTGTTTCCATGAATGAAAATGAAACCTTATCGTATTAGGCCACTGAAATGCGGGGCTCTATTTATTACTGCAACTAGCATTGCCTTGACTAATATTGCCACCTTCGTTCCCTAGGGCTGCCATAACAAAATACCACAAAGTGGATGGCTTTAAAGAACAGAAATTTATTGTCTCACAGCCCTGGAGTCTAGGAGTCTAAATTCAGGGCATTAGCAGAGCAATGCTCTCTCTGTCAACGCTAGGGGGAAATTCTTCCTTGTCTTTTCCAGCTTCTGATAGCTCTGGATGTTTCTTGGCTTTTTTTTTTGTTGTTGTTGTTGTTGTTTTTGGCTTTTAGATGCATCTTCACATGGCATCTGTCTTCCTCCAGTGTGATTCTGACTCCTGTTTTCCGCTCTTATAAGACACAACTCAGAAGAGATTAGGACCCAACCTACTCCAGTATGGAGCAGCGATTAAAGCGTTTGACTGCTAACTGAATCCACCAGCCACTCCTTGGAAACCCTATGGGGCAATTCTACTCTGCCCTATAGGGTTGCTATGAGTAGGAATTGACTTGATGGCAATGGGTTTTTTTTTTTTTTTGATGCAGTATAACTGATAACATCTTCAAAGAAAAATCCTATTCCCAAATAAGATTACATTTACAGGTACAGGGGTTAGGATGTCAGCAAATATTTTTGAGAGACACAATTCAATCCATAGCATGCTATTCAGTAAATTTGTTGAAGGAATAAATGGACTGTATAACTAAATGGCACCCAATACGATGTCATTTGGTACATACATATGACTATAATAAACCCATTTATCTTATTTCATCAATTTGTCTGTGCTCTCACATCAAAACATTTATAGTCATTCAGAATCTAAAGTGGGGCAGCGTGGTGAGATGGAATACTCTGAAGCAATGTAGTGACACTTCCTTTTCAAATTTGTTTTAATACATCAGACCCTTGTAAAGAAGAAGTGAACAAAAGAACCACAGACTAAAGTGGAAGTGGGGAGTTTCTTCTAAATTGTTAGAGTGTTTCATCTTGGTAGCCGACTAATGAATGAAATAGAAAGCGTTTATCTCTATGTTTTCTGTTCATTCTAAGCAGAATTTTGTGTATTTTTAAAGTAATGTACAGGAATGCAAAATATAGCCAGTAATTCCTTTACTCAACTAAAAGACAATTAGAAAAAGTCTGCTAATAGCTTTTGTGCTTAGAAGTGGAATGTCTTCCAGTGAGTTATTTTATGGGTGAATTGCTATGAACACTAGGTTATAGATTTTTTTTTTCCTTTATCTTTTTCTTTCTTTTCTTTTCATTGTTTAACTAAGGGAACTTAAACATAATATAAAAAACATTTTATCTTGAGATAGAAACGTCAGCCACATTTCAATTTGCTCGTAGGTTTCCCCTGAAAGGAATGACTTTTACGCATAACACAGTAGTCTTGTTTTTATAAGTGGTTGGTAATATCTGCAAACGTGTAAGGCATTCATTTTCTAGGAGCTCTTTTCTCCCTGCTAACACAACAGGAAATATCAGAGTGTTGTTATTTGAATCTTTCTTATACTCTGACTCCCCGATGAATTGAAATTCAACTTCACAGTCAAATGAGTAGCCATTTAAAGCTCAGGTGTGTATTTCTTAAGACCCTCTCAAAGGATATATAACTGTTTATGTCTTTCCTAAAGATAGCCAACTGAATTTTAATTGAATTGTGCCTCTCCCAAGAGATCATTCTACCTCTACTTCAAGGCCATATATTATAAAACTTTAGTATGAATTGGAACATGGAGCCTGTGTTTGGGTTTAATATTTAAAGTTGAAATTATAGCAGCTGACACCCAAGTCATTTTAGCAACTCCCCAATCAAAATTTTATTTAATGTAAGTACATCAAAAAATGAACACACACACATACACACACATACACACATATAAAACTTGCACGTTGAAATTCATAAACTTTCAAATTATAAAAAGTAGTTTGTTTTCTCAGGAAATAAGTCTCGAATGGAAATAGTTTCAAATTTTTCTTGTCTCAACCCCACCTTGACCTTGTCAGATGGATTTAAAAAAATGAGGCAATGGAAAAGTTTATATATATACTGAAGAGCTGCTGACTCAGAAATAGGCCTGGGCAGTGCTCTGGTGCAGATTGAATCTCCTTATCGAATAGCAGGGATGGAAGGGAAGACCACTGACTTAAGCCTGAGTGCTCCTGGAGCTAGTCTCCCTCTGATCTTAGAAACTCGCAAGACAACATTTGAAAGGAAACCAAAAGACCTGTGGGACCTAATTCACCAATGCTAACATGTCCATGTGCTTCTTTGTTCTTTATACTTTAAGAATCTGCGCAAATTTCCCAAGGTAAATCAGACTATGAGGCCCAAGGTTGAAACATACTGTGAAAACATCCCACAGCAAGTTGAAGAATGGAATTCATACATTAAAATCTCCTAAGGGACTGTGTTACGGTCTTATCTTATACCTTAACAAAGTGAGCCTTTGTGTATTATATGTAGTTAAGACTAGTAGTTTTTTTTTTTTTTTCTTTTTTGGCTGGAAAATTTAGGTCATATCTTTAATCTGGATTTCAATATTTTAGAAATCTAGATTATTTTTCTTTCTTTCTTAAATTTATAGACGGAGTCCTGGATTGGCTGCCAGGGTACCTTATTCTGCTGCTCACTAGAGAATATGCACCTTAGTTTGCCTGAGATATGGTTTCTTCAACTGAAAAATTAGACTAAGTCATCTCTAGACCAGTTACAGTTATAATATTTTAAGTTGCTTCATTTCAAATGGCTTTTTCTCCATTAATTTGTTCTTGTTAGTTGATATCAGGTTGGCTCTGATGCATGGCAACCCATGTACAACAGAACAAAATGTTGCCCAGTCCTGCACCATCTTCATGATTCTTGGAATGCTCAAGTCCATTGTCATGGCCACTGTGTATTTTGAGTGACTTCCAACCTAAGGAGCTCATCTTCCAGGAATATATTGGACAATATTCTGTGGTGATCCATAAGGCTTTCATTGACTTATTTTGGAAGTAGATCCTCAGGCCTTTCTTTGTAGTCTGTCTTAGTCTGGAAGCTCTGCTGAAACCTGTCCACCATTGGTCACCCTGCTGGTATTTGAAATACTGTCGGCATAGATTCTGGCATCATAGAAACATGCAAGCCACCACAGTACGATCCCTAGATTTCAATATTTTTTGCCATATGATGTAAAAGAATATTTATATTATATACCCAGTGCTTACTTAGACAGACTTCAGCTTGTCCATGTATTTCTACTTACTTATCTTTCTTCAAAGTTGCTTCTCCCTCATTGTCTTTATCTCTCAATGGTATCACTAACTTTTCAGTTATTAAAATCTAAAGTTTTCAATTGTTCATTCTCCCTGTCCCTAAATCAGTCACACAATTCTGTTGGGTACACCTCTGTGATGGGTAAGACTAGATTAACAGAACAGACTTGCAGAACTGGAAGGGACTTCTTTTACTAGTTCATGAACTATAGATTTCTATGGGGATCTGCTGAAATATATATACCATCTTCCCGGTGGGGTGGGGGGGATACATATTTTTATATATAATTTTAGGGAATTCAAAGACTTCATCAAGTTCATTCATGGATCTCAGATTAAGAAGCTCTCAAGTAGGCAATAAGAAGAAAGGCCTGGTGATCTACTTCAGAAAATTAGCCAGTGAAAACCCTATGGATCACAACAGTTTGATCCCATTGTGCATGGGGTCACCATGAGCCATGGGGCTGACTAAAAGGCAGCTAACAATAACAACAACAAGTAAGCAAAGTGTCTACAAAGGCAGAATTTCATTCAATAATGGCTCTCAGCCTCTGCTTGAATACTTCTAGTCACTGAAAGTGCTCAGTCCTTTTCGGAACTTTTACTTTCCTTGTTTGTAAGAAAGCTTTTTTTGTTGGAAAGTTTGTTTGAGGTTAAAATCTGTTTGCCTATAACTTCCAGTTGTTCCTAGGACACAGTATTTGAAGGTACCTCTGGTGGCACAAATGGTTAAGTGCTCAACTATTGGCAGAAAGGTGGGAGTTCAAACTCACCCAGATGTGCCTTGGAAGATAGACATGATGATCTGCTTCCTAAAGGTCACAGTTTTCAAAAGCTTATGGAGCGGTTCTACTTTGCATACATGAGGTTGCTATGAGTCAGAACCAACACTATGGCAATTAACAACCACCACCACCACCACCCATATCCCCATAATCTGTTACTTTTCACGTTAAATATTTACCATCCCCTCAATGTGTTTTTTAGTATATTGCTTCTAGACTGTTTATTATTCTGGCCATCTTTCTTTAGAGTCTTTCTCTAGATACTCCTTAGTGTCTTGACTTAATTTTGGTTCCTTGAGATGAATAACATTCTTTGTATGTGATATGAATAACCAATGCAAAGTTCTGTAGAAAATTTCCTCATTAATGGCACAGAGGAAAGGACTTTGGAGCCACTCAACCTTGGTTAAAGTCCTAGCTCTGCTGTTTGCTAGCTATTTTAACCACATGCTGGTTGCTAAACCTCTTTGAATCTCAGTTTTCTCCTCTGTTAAATGAGAATAGTTATACCTTCATTGTAAGTTTATCTTAACACATACTAGGTACTTAATAAATGATAGGTGCTATTTTTCATTACTAATTCAGATTAAAATAACTTGGGATATTTTAGAAGTTACATCACATTGAAGGTGGATAAGTAAAATATCCAAATTATTTTTAACTGATGTTAAACTTGGCCTGTCCTACCCCAAAGCTATAATATTAAATATCTTTTGCTTGAATGCAAATTTCATAATTACTTATTACTGCTTAATTCTATCTTACTGGGTTTGGCCCACATTGAGATATTACTGAATCCTGATCCTGTCATTCAATGTGTTACTTGTCTTTCCCAGTTTTGTGATCTCCAGTTAGGTACTAGGTCAAGGACTAAACTCCAAAGTACACATTAGCCACAACTTCCAAAGTCGACATCAGTTCATTAAACAACTATTTTGACAAGAGTTGGATAGGTATCCTGTCATGGATTGAATTGTGTCCCCCCAAAATATGTCAGCTTGGCTAGGACATGATCCCCAGTATTGTGATTTTCCACTATTTTGTCACCTGATGTGATTCTCCTGTGTGTTGTAAATCCTATCACTATGATGTTGATGAGATGGGATTATCAGCAGTTATGTTGATGAGACTCAGTCTGCAAAATTACGTTGTGTCTTAAGCCAATTTCCTTTGAGATATAAAAGAGAGAAGTGAGCAGAGAGACAGGGGACCTTATACTACCAAGAAAGCAGCATCGGGCACAGAGCACATCCTTTGGATCTGAGATTCCTGCACAGAGAAGCTTCTAGTTCAGGGGAAGATTGATGATAAGGACCTTCCTCCAGAGCTGACAGAGAGAGAAAGGCTTCCCCTAGAGTTGGCACTCTGAATTTGGACTTTTAACATCCTAAACTGTAAGAATAAACTTCTC